ACACCTGGGACTCTTGCTAGATGTGTCCCATGGGCTGGGAGGTCTTACCTGCCAACAATCATGAGCTCCCATTCAGAAGACAGAGGTCGAAGATGTCGCCAAAGATCCATGGTGAAAATGGTGCTTGCACTGTTGAAGATGGAAGTCAAAGAGGACATCAGCGCTGCGATCATGACCGACATCATAAGCCCTCTTAGTCCTAGAAGCAAAAAGAGGGGCTGTTGGTGAATCTGGATGAGAATATTCCTCACCAGCGTCCTCCTCAGGACATCCAAAGAAGTTTGCAGTTCATCAGAACCAGAAGTGGTATTCAGCAGGTCCTGACTGGTTCTGGAGAACCAGTAGCAGAAATTTTGAGTAGTTCAGAGAACCGGCCAATCCCACTTCTGATTGGCCCCGCCAACCCCATCTCTTCTCTGCCTCCCATTGAGTCCCAGCTGATTGGCTGGGTCTCCTTTGTTTGCCCTGCACAGGAGAACAGAGCTGGAAAGCAGGTTAGTGGGGTGGGGAGGGAATGGAGATTTTACAGTATCCTTCCTCTGCCATGACCACCAAGCCATGCCCACAGAACCAGTAGTAAAAAAATTTGAATCCCACCCCTGATCAGAACATTCTTGCTATTTGCTAAGCCATAACTTGCTTTAAACTCCCCCAAAAAAGAAAAAAGAAAAAAAAGAGAATAAAATCAGGAATTGTTTCAATTAACAAAGGGAAAAAAATACTTTACTTTTCACAGAGGTATAGAATCACAGAAATATTAGTATTAGAATTATAATGAATTAAAATAAATTAGAATTAGAATATGAATATTCTTTCTTGGCTTAGTGTGATTGGACACACAAGGGATTTGTCTCCGGTGCAGAAGCTCTCAGTGTACATACAAACAATAAAGTGATAGGTAAATAAAGTGACACACAGGTCACAAATCATGATACAAACAACAATTGATAAATCATAATATGTATTGTAGGAGTAGGTAGAGGGAAAGATGAGAGGTGACAAAGATGAAAAGAGGCTATTCCATCCAGTTATATGTTATCTTGCAATTATTTTCTCCACCTTTAATCTAAGTAATTAATGAAAAAAAAAATAGCACACCAGACCCTCCTGCTTGTGAAGGCAAAAATGCCTCCTGCTCCCAAAAGTCCTATTGCAGGCCTGCCAGCCCCTCTAGGCAGTAAGAAGCCCCCTTACCCAGTGGCAGAAGCTCGATGACAAGTTTGGGGTACGCAATATCTGAACATCCAGATGGATTGCCACAGATCTCTTTACAGGATTTGGGGTCAGCACAAGCCACTAGATCTGCAACAAAACAGAACCAAAACAACGTTATGAAGGGTGAGAGAAAAGCTGGACAATTTGAAAAAGTTTTTTTTTTAAAGGATTAGAAAGCAGATTCAGGGCTGCCATTTTGTGAGGAGAATGGACCCTGCCGGAGGGAAGCCTGGGGGTCCCAACTTCTACCTCGGGAAGCCCTCACATTTTCCCAGCTCAGCCCATGTTGCGATAGAGACGGGTTAAGGCACCATAATCGGAGTTTGGTGCCATCCTTAGGTAAGCTGGTTAACTCAACAAGTTCATCAAGAAGAGACTAGACTGCCTTTTATGCCTTTAAGCATGTGATTTAATTGAAAAGTAATGAGTTAAATATCTAAGATATGAATGAATATCAATATTAATGAATAGATTTGTATTATTTTTGATAATATAGTATAATTTTAGAATGTACCAGACAGAATACCAATGTAGGTTATGTATTTTATATTAAGTACTATAAATATAGAGGAAAAAGACAAAGGCATCATACTACATATAGTGTATAGGAGAAGTACTTCTTTTTTTTTAAAGAAGAAAAATAAATGATTGGCTGGAATAGAACAGACAAAGAATAATAAATATTACTATATGAATTGAGAGGAGATAAAAAAATAAAAATGAAATAAAATTGAGAAAATTTAAAGGAGAGGAGAAGTTATATAGAAAATTGAAAATGTTAAGAAGATATGAAATGGTATGTAAAATGAATATGAAATTGAACTTGTGTCTGTACCAAGAGTTTTAACCCGGGACTAAGCAACTTTCAGAAAAGAGATTTTTTATACTTTTATGTTTTGTGTTTATGTGTATTTATGTATTGTTTGTCTTGAAAAATAAAACTTGTTTAAAAAAAAAAAAGAAGAGACTAGACTGCCATCTGTCAGAAATGGTGTAGGGTCTCCTGCTTGGTCAGGGGGTTGGACTAGATCAGGGCTATCCAACTTTGGTAACTTTAAGCCTGGAGGACTTCAACTCCCAGAATCCCCCAGCCAGCTGGCTGGGGAATTCTGGGAGTTGAAGTCCTCCAGGCTTAAAGTTGCTAAATTTGGAGACCCCTGGACTAGATGACCAACAAGGTCCCTTCCAACTCTGTTAATCTGTAATCCCCAGAAGATTCTCACCTGAATTCTAATCTCGTACCTCAGTGTGGATGAAAATCCTGAACTGCCTCAAAAGATCAAAATGCTGAAATAATTTCTATATAGCTAAATCCCTGGCTACCTGGGATATCTACAAGCTAGAGCAATTTCCAAGGGGATAAAGGAAATCAAACTTTATTTCTAAATATGTAAAAAAAAATGTTAAAACCCCTTTTATCTGTAAATATTAAACATTCAACCAAACTTCTCAGGTCACAGGATATAATAGGTACAACTAAGGGAACACGGCTTGAAGGATGAACAACTGCTGAAGTTTAAAGACCCACTTATATAATTTAAACAGAGAATCAAAAACATGAAATAAATGAGACTTCAAACACTACAGGAAAACAAAAAACATAAATTAAACCAATTCCTGGCTGCTTGCTTTATTCATTTCTACAGAAAGAACAGTTGTCTGAAGCAAACAGTTCCTCTACTTCAGTTACCTGGGCTTATCTTTGATCCTAGATTCTAAACTTTAATCAGCATCTGAGAAGAAGATGTACTTTTCCCAGTCTCACTCCACAGATTCTGAGGGACTACTTCTGCCTTCCACGTTTTGTTTTAAATCAGCCAGCCATTTCTATGTCCAGCAGAGGAAGGAACGGTAGTATTTCTCTGGGTGTGTTGATAGTCTACCTGGGCACCTGGCAGGTGAGCTGCCTTCATCCATCATTCAAGCTCTCCTCAGGAGCACCCATACCTGGTTCACCACAGTGACCAAGTTTCCATGTCAGAA